GGGGGTGGGGGGAAGGACAGACAGAGAGAAACAAAGTCGACAGTGAGGCCAGGGGTTGACAGAGAGACACGGCCAGGAAGGGGCGGCACAGTGGAAGGAGGAGAGAGTTTGGCCAACAGAGGGTGACAGGGACAGACACAGGTGGGGGAGCACACGCAAGGTCATGGAGAGAAACACAGGCAGGACAGACAGAGCCAGGAAGAACAGGGAGGCGGGAAGGAGAAAGCAGGGAGAGAAGAGTGCGGGCCCGGGTAGGAGGAGGGAAGAGACAGGTATCGGTGGGGGCGGGCAGCGGGGGGAGAGAGGGAAGGTAGAGCAGGGAAAATGCAGACGCAGAAGGAAAAGGAATAACAGCAGAAGAGAGAGGTGTACAAAAACAAAAACAGAAATGGGTCTGGTTACTGCCACGGCGGACGCTGCTGGCCTGGCCCGGCCCCGGGGCCCCTCGACAGCACCCACAGGAGGCTGAGCCACTCGGTGGGAAGGGAGGGGGTGGGCCTGCTTCTCCAGTGACAGTGGGCTTGGTGACTGCAGGCCAGCAGAGGCCCCGCCTTGTTCCCCAGACCAGGCCAGACCATGGGGCAGGGGTGGTTGTGGGGGGTCGGGGAGGGGACCTCCTACCCTGTGACACAGCCTCACAGCACTGAGCACAGGGCTTGGCATGCAGCATGGAGTCAATGAAGGACAGAAGGATGGCGGGACAGATGGATGGAAGACAGATGGCGGGGTGGGGAGAAGCAGAGTGGCAGGTGCAGCGCCAGGGGTGGACACTGGGTGGCGGAAAGCAGATGGGCCCCCAGCTGAAGGCCTCATCCACCCTGTGTGCCCAGCACACGCCCCCCCCGCCCCCAGTCTCAGCGGCAGAATCCCAGAGGCGGGCAGACAGGAAGTAATCACACAGTAGGTGCGCACTCAGGAGATGCTCACACAGAAGCCCCGTTCCTGACACACAATAGGCAGCCACAACCACAGAGGCCCCGACACACAGTAGGTGCTCACACGGCAGCCTAGGGCCAGGCCCACAGAAGAAGGGGCTCACAGAGAACACGCTCACACCACAGCTCGCTTCCTGACACACAGTGAGGATTCACCAGGGTCCAGGGCTTAGCACATACGTGCGCTCAGTCAGGAATCCATCTCCTGACACATGGGAGGTTCTCGCACAAGAGCCCAGGGCCGGGCATACAGTGGATACTTACAGAGCTGATGCCCACACAGCAGCCCAGGACCTGACACAGTGGGTGCTCACAGAAACTCGGGGTCAGGCCCACGGTAGATGCTCACACAGGACACGTCCACACAGCAACTGGGTCCTGACCCAGCAGGTGCTCACATAGCAGCCCGAGTCCTGACACACAGTAGGCGCCCACCAGCATCTCAGGGCCAGGCACACAGCAGGCGTTCACACAGAAACCAGGTCCTGACACACAGTGCGTGCCCGCAGCCTGACACACAGTAGATGCTCCAGCAACTCAAGGCTTGACAGTAGGTGCCCACAAAGCAGCCCAATTCCCAGCACGTGATAGACAGTATGTGCTCAATAAGGAATGTCATATAGAGGCAGCCCCAGAGCTGACCCGCAGAAAGTCACCTGAATAAGGGACCAGGAGGAGGGACAGGCTGAGGAGCTGGAAGGGGGCTGCAGGCTCTCAGCACCCCACCCACTGTTGTGGCCTGGACATTGGACCCCCAGGGAGAACAGTGGCTAGACTGAGTCTAGAACCCAGGATGGGCACTCAGACAGCAGAGCAATGGGGGGGCAGGCCTCGGAGGTGGGGGAGAGCTGAGGCCTGCTTGGGGGGGCACTCACTATTCCAGCTGCCTTGGCCAGGTCGGGGTTGTTGGGGGCAAAGCTGCCGCTGTGGCTGGTCGACACGGTATTGGGCTTCTTGTTGCTTAGTCCCATGGCGTCCATGGACTGGCTGCGGCTCCGGATGACCCGCTGTGAAGGTGGGGTGGGAGTGGAGGAGGCACAGACTTTATGAGGTCCCTCCTCCCCCCCGGGAAACCCAGGAGCCCAGGCATCTGGTCCCTCCCCACCAATGCCACTCTTGGTAACCCCAGGAAGTCCCTGCCTGTGAGGCCACAGGAGGGGCAAGTCCACATGGTGCCTAAGGGTAGTTTGGGCCTTGGCTCTGCCACCAACTTGCTGGGTGATGCTGGACAAGCTACCGCACCTCTCTGAGCCTCCTAGGACTCTCAAGTGGCTGTTGTAAGGATTGCAGAAGATGCTGGGGCATGACCTAGAGCACGCACAGAGAGCCCTCCAGAAACCTCAGTTTCTTGATCTTAGGGCTTTCTCTCCTACTTTCTTCTCTTTCCTCCCTCTAGCCTTTTCTTCCTTGCTTTTCTAGGCCAATCTGTACTGAACATTTCCTATGGGGCCAGGTACTTCATGTTCACTCATTCAATCCACCCTACGAGGTGGGTACTATTATCATGCCCATTTTACACATTCGAGACAAGCCTGGAACCCATACACCAAATTACATGCCCTTAACTGTGGGCTCTGCTGCCTCTGAGAAATTCTTTGACTTAATCCAGGTCTACTGTCCAGCACCTACCAGAGATGTGGGGCCACTGGACCCCCACTCCCCTCAAGGCACCCCAGACCCATGTTCATCCCCCCCATTCCCTGTCTCCAGTGGGCAGAGGCAGGGCTGTCCTCAGGCCCCTTTCTCAAAGACCATCTGTTCGCCTAAGTCCAGGGCAGGCCCAGGCAGCTGGGCCAATCCCCTTATGGAAACCCACTACAAACCCACATCTCCAGCATTGCTGCCTGCCCTGGGGTGAAGGTGAGGCCCAGCCAACCTGGCAGGGCCCCTGGAGGATGGGCAGTTCCCCTCCTGTGGGAGGAGGAGAAGGTGGCAAGGAAGCCACGGCCTGGGGACCTGTAGCTTCGGAGAGTCCAGGACCTATGGGGCAAAGAGGAACTCCCCCTCCTCTGCCTCTTACTTTGGACAGCAACTGCTGAGGTAGATGGGCAGGGTTTTGCATTTTGCTTTTGAACTTGTATTGCACTAATCTAAGTCCTTTACAAATAATTCTCAACAGTTGTAGGAGGTAAACTGCCATTGCCCTACCCAGTAGATAAAGAAACCAAGGCTCAGGGGTGCTTGGCTGGCTCAGTGGGAAGAGCATGCGACTTTTGATCACGGGCCATGAGTTTGAGCCCCAAGTTGAGTGTAGAGATTATTTAAATAAATAAAACTTAAAAAAAGGAAAGAAAGAAAGAAACTGAGGCTCCGAGCATGCTAAAGCTGGTAAGTGGCAGAACTGGGATTTGAACCCAGGGCGTCACTAAACCAGAGACAGCCAGGTCACAGGGTCACACAGGCCTGGTCCCTCTCCCATGGCCACTCAATTCACATACCGCACCTCAGACTTCTGTTTCTTTCCCTCTGAGGACAGAGACCTCCTCTCTTTTCTGCCTGCTTACCTGGTAGCCACCGCCAGAGGAACCTGGTTACCACCTAGAAAGCTCCAACCTTTGCAGAACTCCCTGTAGACTCCACCCTCAAGCCTAGGCCCCGCCTCCAACCATTAACTCCTCCCAAGTCAGAGCCCCACCCTAAAGCCTAGGTCCAGCCTGAGGCTCGCCATCATCCAGACTCTACCTCAGGCACTTGCCACCCAGCTCCTAGCTCATCTCACGCCTGTTTATTAACCCCGCCCCTGACTCCCCCCCTAGCTCCGCCCCCACTCGACTTCCCCCCCCCCATGAGAGCCCGCCTCCGGCCACACCCCCACGCCTTGCCTATAACCCCGCCCCCGACTCCACCCCAGACAGGCACCGGCCCCTCCGCCCCAGGTAGACCCTGGCTCTTCACCTTAAAAGACTCGAAGAAGCCACCGCCACCGCCGCCATTCTCCATCTTGTCCTCGTCACCGCCCAGGCCCATCATGGACTGACTGTGGATGTGCAGTTCCTCATAGAGCGTCTCCAGGAGGGCGGCCCGTGTCCGCTCCTGTGGGCCAGGGGGAGGCCATCAGGAGAGAGCCCGGTGATCGGCCCTTCGTTCCACAATTAGAATCCCACCTTCTCTGAGTGAGTAGGGAGTGGGCCTGGGCCCCGGGAGCCTACGCTGGCTTCCCCTGGGCCCCTCCGCAGCTCCAGCAGCCCCCAGGGCTCCTCCTGTCCCGATCACCAGGTATCCCCCTCCCCCACGGTGTCCTCTGTGCCAGCCTGCCCACCTGCGGGCGCCCCCTGGGACATTCCTCACATATTCCTAGAAATGCCCTACTTCCTCTCCCCTGAACCTAGCCCTGCTCACGCGTAAATCCGCCCCCACCCCAGACAGTTCTCTCTCAGGCCAAAGTCTGAACATGGCATTTCCCTCCCCAAGGGCAGGGCTGAAATCCTAGGTTGGGGGGAGGGGTTCAGCCCAACAGCCCATCCTCACCTCCAGTTTGGCAAACTTCTCTGCCTTGTAGCAGGCATATTCAGCATTGATCAGCTTTGTCAGCAAAAATTCCTGGAACTCAGGCCCCTGGGAGCCCCCAGTGTGGAGAGGAGAAAGGGGCTCAGATGAACACAGAGGCAAGGGGCTGAGCCCCAGTGACTCGGGCTGGAGTCCCTGAGCCGTGACCTGCTGGGGCCCTGGGGTCGTCCTCTTCACTCCCAGAAGGGTGCCTCCTTGGCCTCAGCTCCCAGCCTAGGTACCTGTGAGGGCCCCCTGTGCCCTTCATGGTTGCCCACCCCTCAGGAGAGCAAACCTCACAGATGTAAGGGGCTGGCTGGGGTCTCCTACTGCCTCGGTCTGGGGGAGAAGTGAGGGGTCTGAAGCCAAGGCTCAAAGTGTGGCTTCTGACAGGTGAGAGAAACGTGTGCCCCTTCCCAAACATTTTAGAAGAAAGAAGACTGTAATTGTCAAAAAGATAATAGCAGTTAGGAAAGGCCACAGAGTCTGCTATGAGAAAGCTAAAACAATGGTGCAGTTTGTTCCACGACTTTGTAAGTAAAGATCACAGTTTTTATCAATTTGGACTAAAAGCCAGGCCCCAGTTACATGGTTAGGGGAGCCCAGCTGCCCTGGCACACAGTGGGGCTTTAGGACTTCTTACAGCAGAATGTGTGCCTCCCTCAACCCCCACCCATTTCGTCCTGCTCTGTCCATGACTGGGGCTGGGGGCTGCCCCTCACCTTCCTGAACACAGCGGGGTCCGGAAGGGGGGGCCCGAAGAAGGGCACGTCATCTCTAGCAGTGACAGAGACCTGGAAGGGAGAGCAGCATTTCCTGTGGAGTCCCCACCCCAGCCAGAGACCCCTAATTCATCCCAGGCCTACTCCTTGCTGGGGAAGGTTCCATAACTGCTGATTGGGTGAGTGAACCCCAGGATTTCAGCTCCTCCATCCTTGGCCCTGAATTTGAGTGGTGAGAAGAGGTGGAGGATCTCAGGGGTCATGGAGGATAGTGAAGGGCAAGGAGGCTAAAGGATGGAGGAGGGTAACCAGCTCCATTGAGGGGGATAATCTGGGGAGGGGGGCAGAGAGGGCAGGATGGGAATCCTCCATCCACAGAGCGAGAGGGGGACTCAGAGTCCTCTGGACAGTCCCCTTATCTACAGGTGGGAAAACCAAGGCTCAGAGACGTCTCATAGTGACTCAGGGCGGGGCAGGGCCTGGGGTTGCGGCTGATCCCCCCTGGGAGGCTCCGTGATCACCCACCTTGTAGAGCGGGCCATCAGGCCCCCCGCCCTCGGCCTGTACCACCACATAGGCATGCAGGAAGTTGGATGCAATCATGTCAGGCACAAAGGGTGTGTTCTCGTCCTGGAAGACTACAGCGACAATGTCGTTCCCGATGTGCCGCTTTCGCTGCAACTGAGCACAGGGCCACAGGCCTTCACCACCTGGCCAGAGAGGGGCTCGCTGGGCGCAGGGGAGGGTGCCCGCAAGACGGTGGGAGGGTTTGGGGTAGGCAGAGGGCATGTCTAAGGATTCGCTTCCACTCCCCAAAAATGTCAGGAGAAACTTGTCTTCAAATTATTTTAGTTTTCTTGGAATCCTGTGGCCGATGAGGAAATGGAGGCCAAGAGAGAAGGGACTTGCAAGGCCCTGCTGTGAGTTAGAGGATTTGAACCCAGGGCTCCTGGGCCCCAGGCTCTACCTCTCAGCCCTCCCTCTGTCTCAATACCCCAAACACAGCCCCTCACGAACAGAGAGGTTCCACTCAGCATATACATTTATGTTGCTGAGATGAACAGAGGATCCTCTTAGAAGAAACTTAAAGGACACTAAACACAAATATTTCCATTTTTCTCACACTACCCTTTTATCCGCCTGGGCTGGGGGCACAGGGTCAAATGGACAGCCCTTCAGGAAGCTTGGGATAGGTGACAAATTTTGGAGTTCAGCTCCCAGAATATGCCCTGCTCTTTCTCGCCTCTGGGCCTCTGCAGAAGGTGGAAGCCATTTTCTCCACCTGGAACATTCCCCCTCCTTCTCCCAGCTCCTTTGGGGCCTAGAAATCATTTTGTCTTAAAAGCTTTTCTTGACTCCTACCTCTGCCAAGTTTAAGTGCCCCCATGTGACCCCACAATGCCTCTCCCTGTAAAAACACTAACTCCCATTTACTGAGCTCTCGTTATGTACCAGATGCTGTTCTAGCCACTCAGTATGCATTCCCGCACGGACGCTCACCTACGAGGGCAATGCCATTATCATTCCCATTGCATGGATGTGGAAACAGACTTTCCCGACATGAGAGCAGCGTGTCACCCTGCCCCCACGAGAGCCCACAAGTAGGGGGAATGGATCGTTGCCATGTCTATATCCCAGGGCCCCTTGAACCTGCTGTGGTGAACACTGAACGGACAGGCAGATGGGGGGACAGGAGGACAGGTGGGAAGCAAGTGGGTGGGTGCCCAGGCTACCTGCTGGGCGTCCCCTTCTGTGTAGGGCAGCTTGGTGGACACGTGAAACATGATCTCCTTGTTGCGGAAGGTGCAGTACACAGACTCGGTCCCCGTCTGCCCGTGGGTCACGTCCAGGCCTCCTCGGAACCTGCCCCACGCCCCCCAGGCCACGGCTCAGTCTCCAGCCCCAGCCAGGCCTCCATGGGGCCAGGACGGGGCTCCCTCCCTGCCCAAGGGCACGGGTCCAATTAAGTGATGCTCTTCCCACCTAATGCTCACCCTTTAAAGTCCTGCAGTTTGACCTTCTGGCCCAGAAATTCGAGAAACTCCACGAAGGCGGGGCTTTCCTCATTGGTGCTAAAGAGCTCTTCCTCAGAGGTCTGGGGACACAAGGAGGGCAGAGGTCACCGAGCTGGTGCCCCTGAGCAGCCTCCGCCCCCCACCCCCCACTCACATCCAGAGCAGGTTGGGAGGAGGACCTCCGGGCACCCGCCCCCCCAAGCTCCTGGAAAGCACAGTCCCTGGGCAGGAGCCCTCACTGGCAAAGGTCTGAGGCCCCAGATTCACGGCCAGGCGGGCGGGGGAGGCGGGAGGAGGGGGTGAGCGCACCTGTCCAAGCTTCTGATATATGACTCCAAACTTGAAGTTATTGCTGATAACATGCTCGTCAAAGGTGACGATGAGGCGGGAAGCCTGGGGGGGAGAGGACCAGGAGTGAAATGGGCCGCTTTCACAAGCTGCTGTTTATTGCTCTGACTCCATGCTAAGCTCCCTACCGGGTACTCTACCCGTGTCCTCTCATTTCATCTTCACGACAAGCCCGTGAGGGAGACGCTGCTGCTGTCCCCATTTTACAAATGAAGAAACCAAGGTTCAGAGAGCTTAAGTAACTTGTGACTTGCGTCAGGTCAACTGCCCGCGAGTGGCAGAGCTGGGACTTGAACTCACGACCAAAGCTGAAGCTCACTGCCCTTGAGTCTTGCCCACAGGCCCTCACCTGAGTCCGTTCTGTAATACCCACTTGTTCCTTGGCTCCTCTGTAAACCCACAGCATTCTTCTCGAATGAGTCAAGCCCCACCAACTTGCTGTGGGGCCTTGAGGCGTTCCCCTTACCTTGGGCCTCAGTTGCCTCTTTTGTACCTGAGAGGTAACATCTGATTTCGGAGGCCCCTTCCTTTGGGGGACCTTTCCTGGACCATAGCATCCCCTTGTCCCAGGACTCAGTCAGAGCCACGAGGGCTGACATGTCTTTCAGGGCCACCTCTTCCAGGAAGCATCCCTGACTCACTCAAGACAAGCCCCGCTGCTTTCCCCACGAGGCCACAGTGCGTCAAAGCCGGCACCAGAGCTAGGGGCACAGCCACTGTCTGGGGGGTGGCATTTATGGGGGCCCCTGCTTGTTCCCTCTCCCCGCGTCCCCTCGGGTCAGAAGGCAAGGCCAAGCGGAGTCCCCTGGCTCAGGAGCACCGACTGCCCTTGGGAGGGTCCCCAGATGGCATGAGAGTTCCGGGAAGTAAGGCCTGCCTCCAAGGTGGATGACGCTACAGTTAAAAGGCAGGCCTCCTTCATCTGCTGTGCGTCGCCAGATAAGGCACAGGGCCATTGTGGCCCTCTGCTTCCTCTTCTGCAAAAGTAGACTTTGCACAGTTGTTGTGTGGATTAAATGAGCGAACTTGGGGGGAATACCCTGCGTACAACAGGTGCCCCATAAATGCTCAGTTCCCCAGTTAGCCACCCAGCCCAGGGCGCGGGGCCCAGATGCAGCCGTACCTTGGGGTAGAGCACAGGGTAAAAGCGATCCACATTCACATCTTCACACACCAGCTGCAGGGAGAAGGGAGGGGCTGAGGGGAGGGCCTCTGGGCCTCTGGGCCTCCCCGGTCACCATCTGGGGAGGTTATAGCAGCGGAAAGGAGAGGGAGCCGCCGAGTCTGCAGCAGGACTGGGGGCTCACTGCTGCTCAGGAGGGGGTGAAGAGAACTGGGGTCCCCTTATCCGAAGGTGCTCTAAAGTGGCCGAAAAGCACACGGGCCGGGGACAGGAGCCCAGAACACACAGCCGCATGCCAGTGTCATGGGACACAGGAGAGGTGGGACCTCGGAGGCAGGGCTGCAGCGGCAGGGCTAGGACCTGGGGCTCAAGAGGACAGCGTGCACAGGCAAAGCCACACCCGGCTGTGAGCCCACCTGGGGTGCCCAAACAGGCCTCACCTTTGCCATCTGGACCACATTGGGGAACTCAGTGAGGCAGGAGATGGGGATGACATCATGGTGTGTCCGGCACTTGGTCCTGGGAGGAGAAAGGCCACGCTGAGGGGCTAGGCGGTGGGAGAGAGAGACGGAAGCCCCTCCGCACAGAGTAAGCCCAGAGGGGACACATCCCAGGGAGAGGGAGGACCAGAGGTGGTAATGGGGCCAGGCCTGGCTTGCAGCAAACTCACTGAGCAACCCAGGCAAATCCCTGCCCTCACTGGGCCTTGATGAGAAGAGTGGGCACAATGAGCTGGGCTTTTAGACTGTAAGACCTCAGCCCTCCCTACTGTTGCAGGGTCCCCTCAGCCCCCCTCACCTGAGCAGCAGCCGGAGGTGCTCCTGGTCCCCGATGACATCATACTTGAGTGAGAAGACAAGGTGGCCCAGGGCAGTGTCCAGTGAGTAGTAATTGAAATGCTCCTGTGGTGGGAGGCGGGGGCCCGGAGAGAGAGCAGAGCTGAGCTTGGGGCTTCCAGAAACCAGACCAGAAAGCCAACTCACTCCCAGATGGGGGTCCTTCACCAAGCAGCAGGTGCCATGGCTAATGGCAAACTCTGCAGCAGATAGACCTGCATTCAAATCCCTGCTCTGCCGCTTGCCAGCTGGGTAGCCTCACCTCTCTGCCTCAGTTTCCCACTCGGTAAAATGGGAGGCTAACTACCTTGTGGGATGGTGGCAGGGACTGAAGGAGATAAACAGCCTAGCAGAGAGTAGGTGTTCAATGAATGTTTGTCCTCATCAAAGACAGGACCACATTTGTACCTGCATACCTATCTCCCAGACCCTGGCCTTCTCAGAGCTGGGCACACAGTAGGTGCTCAATAAAAATCATCTGACTGATGGCTCAGCTTGTGGCTCTGTGGCCCCTGAAGCCAGGGTCTGTGAGAAACAGGAAGTGAAACCTCTCATGAACACACTGGGCGCCTCACCGGGCGGGTTCCCACCCTCCTTCCTCACCTGGAGGAGCCACAGGGCTGGGAAGAAAAACTGCAGCGGGCCCAAGGGGGAGCTGCGGCAGGAATCATCCCCTAGAGAGGAGCCTGGGGCTGGCACCTCTGGATGGGGAAGTCCTGAAGTCAACGGCAGACTGGGAGTGCCAAGATATCCCACCCCAGCCTGGCCCCGACTTCCACTGGGGCCCCGGCCCTGGGCGTGGGGATGGCTCCCGGCAACAGCCACCCCAGGAGTCATACTGGAAGTTAACGCCGGTTGAAACGGGAACACCTGTGCTCAGAGGGCAGGTGGAGAAAGGGGCAGGGGATGTGCCCCACAAATCTGCAGCTCCGGGACAGTCTGAGTCGACCTGGAGCCGAGAGTCCCCCCAAGCCCTGCCTCGGCACAGAGCGATGGAAACCCCCAAATGCTTGGCGCCGACTGCAGACAGGGAGTGGCAGGTTCTTGGCGCTGAGGTCTTCAAGTCCCTTGAGCTAGGAGTTTGAGCCCTCCCAGCGCATCTTAATGGAACATCAGCCGGAGCTAGGTCCAATTGCTAGCTTGGTAATTGTGTGACCTTCACCAAGACACTTGACCTCTATGAGCCTCAGTTTCCTCTTCTGTAAAAACTAGGACGATCCTGATCTCGTAGAGTAATTATGAAGACGTAATAACAGCTACCACTGATTAAGTGCTCACTGTAGGCCTAGCATGGTTCTCATGCTTTACACGTGCTTTTATGATCCGAGTTTTTACAGCTGAGGAAACAGGCTCAGGAAGATTAAATAACTTGCCCAAGGTCACACCATCAAAAAATGGAAGAGCCCAGATGCACACCCAGGCCGTGAGACTCCAGAGCCCACACCTCTCCCCACCACCTGGGCTGTAAAATGGCACGGAAACAGGACCTGGCATGGGGCCCGACACACACTGGATCCCAGCATGTGACCTCCCCTCCAGCTCCCACAGTCTCACCCGCTGACTGACAAGTTTTCACAGGGCGGGACCTCTGCTCTGGGGCTGGAGATGGGGCAGGGGTTTGCACTGTTCTCCCAACCCTGACCTAAGGGCAGGGCCTGGGTCTCTTCTGTTGGCTGCCGCATGCCTGGTGCCTAGAACGGGGCTGAGCAAACAGCTGGTGCTCATTGCTTGCCAACCTTGACTGAGCCCTCGCTTTATGCCACACACCATCCTAAACACCTTACAAGCATTGCTCTCGTTAAAGCTTTGCAGCAACCCCATGAGGTGGGTGTCATCACCATCTCAGTTTTTATGGATGGGGAGACAGAGGCACAGGGAGGGTAAGTGACTTGTCCAGCGTCTCACGTAGCAAGTGACAGAGCCAGGGTCACGCCATGGTGGAGCCTCTGCTGTTAACCACTATGGCATAATACTGCCTTTTGCAATAAATGTTCGTTGAATGAATGCGTGAATCCACCACAAATGTTTCGAGACCTGGGACTCGGGGACTATCACCCAGCCCCAGCCCATGGGTTTGGCTGCTTCCCAGGCCCGGCCCCCATCACCGCTGGACTACCCACCTTGCCAAGAAAATGCTTCCGGTAGATGCGGGCTGTGGGGTTACACTCGAGCTTCACCTTGGTCGTGGGTGATTGCAGCGGCTCTGTCTCCGGGACGCTGGTGATTTCGTGGTTGGTGCCTTCAATCCAGTAGCCCCCGAACTGGGGCAGCAGGATGAGGGGGAAAGGTCCTTCTCGCCCTAGGACCTGAAAGAGGACTCAGCTGAAAGCCACCCACTCTGCACCCTACCAGGGCCCCGGGACCCCCCCCAACTCAGACTGGGCCACTTCTGCCATGGCTCAGGAGTGCCAGGGAACGAGCCAGAGCCTACATGGGCCTCAGGGCTTGCATCCCCCCGCCCCCCAGCAGACTTGCTCCAGCCACTCTCCTCCTACTGCAAGCACAGACCCAGGCTGCATGGAACCCCGTGTTACAGTCTCCAAGGATGAGGACTTGGGGGAAGGTAGAGTTGGGAGCATGACCTTGGCCAAGAGGCTGGAAGGTTTGGATTAGAGGTCTAAAGGTTCACAGGGGCTCTGAAGACTTGGGCCAGTAAGCTGAGGCTCCGGTGCCCACAGCAAGGCCTGCGATCAGGCTCCTGGCAGGGAGGAGGACCTGAGAATCCAGACTCCCTTTGTGGGCACCTCTGGGTCTCAGGGTGGGGATGGGCTCAGTGGGTGCAGCCAGTTACCTCATGGACGCTCGGGTAGGGAATGTAGTCCTCCTCCGTCTACAAAACACAAACAGGGCAGAGACCCAGCTGGGGTGGGGTCTTCACCCTTTACTTACTTCCAGCCTCCCCAGAATGCTCCAAAGTTCAGCCAGCCATCTGGGCTGGGAGTGTGGATGGGGCTGTGTCATCTCCCCAGGGCTTGCCTTGGGGTGACCCCTCGAGGCAGAGGCTGAGGCAAACTTAGCTCCCGCAGTGCTGGCAGCCTCCTCCAGGGCTCTTTCTGCCTTGGGAAAAAGGCTCACTGCCTCCCCAGAAGAAACCTCGGGCCCAGTGGTTCTCAGTGCATCAGAATGGCCTCCAGGACTCCTTAAACACACAGCTGTGCCCCACCCCCAGTTTCCCAGGGTCTGGGTGGGGCCCCAAATTTTACTTTTTTTTTTTTTTTAAGAATTTACATTCTAACGAGCTCCCAGGTAATGCTGATGCTCCTGGTTTGAGAACCCCTGCTCTGGACAAAGTATCAGGCATATGCCCACGGACTCCCCCTTCAACCCTCACCTTGAAGCTCTGGGCCCACCTCGCCCCACCCCATGCCCAGCCGCCAGTCTTCTTGGATTGTTGAGGTCCCAAATAAACCACAGAACCATATGCCTATCTGGAGGGGAGGTGGGACTCCCACCCCAAGAAAATTCTGAGTCTAAGAGCCTCCTCCCATCTCCTTCCATCCCCCGCCTCCTGTCTGTCTCCTCACAGTAGCCTCGGGGGAAGGTGGCTGGGGGGTTAGGGGGGTGGGGGGGGCAACGAGGCCACCCCTCCCATCTCCTCCTCTCCCCCCCTCCCCATCAGCCTTCCCAGGCAGAAGCTGGGATGCAGTGGCCTCCACCCCACACTCACACACTAGTGTGTGTGACCTGGGTCCTGGGTTTGCGTTTCCCTGCAGTGGCTGATCCTGGGTTTGCGTTTCCCTGCAATGGCTGATCACGCCTGGGGAGGGAGTCTCCCCATCCCTTCCAGGTCCCAAGCCCTTTGGAGAGGCTGCTCAGGAAGCAGATAGTACGGGCAGACAGCCACAGAAAGGTGGGGTGGGGCCATGGTTCCAACCTACTTTGAGGGGTGGTGGGAAGGCGCATCGTTGTTCATCCATCCTGCTTCCCTGCAGAGAGAAGGGAACACATCCTGTTACACCCCTCCCACGCTTGCTACGAGCACTGCCAGCCCACTGGAGGCTCAGAGCCCGGTGAAGGGGAAAGCCCGGCATGTGGGGGTACTCCAGGGTGCTGGGCACTTGGTTATCCAGGCCTCTGCAGGGAGAGCTGGGGGCTCTGTGTGGGAATGTGTGCCGCTGGGACTGGGGGCAGGGGTGGCCTGCACGCACTAGTGTGTGAGTGTGGGGTGGAGGCCACTGCATCTACAAAGATGTGTGTTTTGAGAGAGAGAGGAAAGGGACAGAGGGGGAGAGAGAGAGAGAAGGAGGGGAGAGGTAGAGATGGAAAAAGAGAGAGGCAAAGAAACAGGAAGGTGCAGAAGAGAGGGTTTGGAGGGCGAACTGACATGTGGGGGGAAGCTCCTAAGGTTTGTTCAAGTTGCCCCACCTCCCACACGTACCCATGCATCAGACAGAGGTCTGGAAGACCAGGGCTGGGAGTGGAAGGTGGGCAGGGGTCAGGTAGAGGGGGTGGGGCACATCCCCTTGCCTGTGCCCTGGCATCTGTCCCTCGTCCCATTCGACACGGGGATCCTGCAGAGCCTGGGATGCCTCTTGGGGGATGGGAAATGTGTGTGAATGTGTGGGGGTGGGTTAGGATGAGCCACTGATCCCAGCCCTGCTGGGGACCTACACAGGGACGGGAGCAGGGGAGACACAAGTGGGGTCTGGGCCCATGGGTCAGACAGGGAATTAGCACTCCTAGTCCCCATCCTCTACTCAGACCCCCAGCCCGAGGGCTCAGGACAATGCACTGCCACCACCTCCTCCCAGAACAGTCTGCTGAGGGCTCCTGGCCCGTCCTCAGAGAGGAATAGGGCTGGAGATATAGCAAGGGCCCCCACTCCAGCCCAGCCCCCTCTGCGGCTCCCCAAAATGGGCAACAGAGCCAACCTCACCTGCATCTTCTCAATCATCTCAAACAGATCTGTGTTCTGCAACAGAGATGGAGGAGGGCAGGTCAGTCCTCAGGACCAGCCCAGCTGACCCTGCTAAGCCCCCGAGGAGTCTCCACCCACCCCCAGCCCTCCTGGTCCCCCCAACTCTAACCAACCACCGTGGGCCTGTCTGAGCAGCAAGGGGGAGTGGAGAAGGCACTGTAGAAGGGAGCTCAGGGCAGATGACCAGCAGGGCTTGACCAACTGCTTAGTGAAGTCAGCCCAGGGCCCTCCCCCGGCAGTCCACCCCACTCAGTCCCCTTCCCAGTGTAAGGAGGCTGCTGCCTCAGACCCGGACGGATGTGACCCTCAGGGAGAGACACATCTCCCCCACGTCACTGCAAGTTTGGCAGTGCCAGGACAGGCCAAGTACCCCAGGTCCCAGCGCCAGAGAGGAGACAGTGGGGATCCTCAGGAGGGTCTGTGGTTCCACCCGCCTCTCCTGGAAGAGGGCCCCACCCTCACCCCCCTGCAAGCAGTATGAGTCGGTGGGGGGGGGCTGTCGGGGGAGACAGCGCTGGGATGTCCCACTGGCTCAACAGCTGTGTGTGAGTCCACACGCATCCCCCGGCCCCTCCCGCTGCGGCCACCCTCTGCCAAGGGCAGCCAGGGCACACACAGGGTTACTCGGGGCACCTGCCAGCTCGGCTCCGCAGCTCCCGCCTCTCCAGCGCCAACTCCCTGCGAGCCTTCCTGGAAGGCGGCTTCCTAGCCCATCAGTGCCGCTGGGGGCTGGGCCTGGGAAGCCCCCCCTCCCCGGCCCCCGGGGTCTCCACGATAGTGCCCCTCCCCCAGCACTTCCAAGGCCTCCACTCATTTGGCTCCTGCCGCCCAGTGGGGGCCCTGCCTGAGCTCACACACATATGCTACGGGCTTGCACACCAGGAAACACATACTCTCTCTTTCTCTCCTTCTTGCTTGAACACACACAGCCTTGTGCACCAATATTTAAACATACCCTCACCGTACCAAAGAAAGCAAACACACATAAACCGCCCCCCCCACAAACCCAGGGGGTCTGTGCACACCAATCCTGAGCCTCAGAGCCATATGCTAACACACAAATACACATGTCAGTGTCCTAAATCACACAACTCACACACACACAGGTCCATCCCACAAAGCCAAACACATAGATACCAACCCACCCCTGTGCAGATGTGCACATCAGTAATTGAACACGAAGCTACACAAACACCACAAAACCACTCTCACATCTGTGCGCCGAGAGACACAGTAACATGCACTCGCAGATGTCGGCAGCTGCGTTCACAGAAACTGTGAACCCACAGAGAAGCTCACCTTTCCCTAACAGAGTCACGCATCCTGGTAACACACATGACAGACCCGACCCCGCAACATTGAGTGAGTTTTGAGGGAAAAAAAGTGCTCAGCCACTGTGGAAGTGGTTCATCAGCAAGAGTGAGGGGCACAGGTCTGACGCGCACACACCACCCCCTCACGCTCACTGGAGTGCACACTACCCATCACAGGCACACACACAGCGTGAGGACCACCAGACACAAACACCCCATGTGCACACTCAGAGGCCTGCCCCCAGAGGCAAAACCCACCCTGTAAGTGCACTCCGAGAGTCCACGGGAGACACGGACCCATGGTCACCTATGGCCACACCCAACACCCTGAGCTTGGAAGAGACAATTCCCCAGGCAGCTACAGCAGAAACCACTGACACACCTGCAGTCCAGGTAGACAAACACAACTGTTAACTCAACATCCTGTACAATAGCAACATGGGCATCTGTGCCTGGGTCACCCAATCTGAGCCCAGCACAGTCCCAGCAGTGATGTGGGCGCATTATTGGCCTCCCGAGCACCCCACTCAGGGTGACCCAAGGGAACAATGGCCAGGAACAATGCACAGGGAGTCACGGCCACATAAACACTGACACATGGGACTGTCACCCAGAGAGCACACACAGCAACAAGTGACACCCACAGTTACAGCCTCGCGGGCACAGCAGACGCCCCGACACGTGGCAGACGGTGAGCGAAGTGGCCCAGAGCACCACGCAAAGTTACACTGTGACATTGAGACCCCTCCTAAAGGGCGCAGGGGACGGTGAAGTGGTCCCGAGGCTAACAGACACACGGATTCACGCACGCACACACAGCGCCACGGTAGCCCGGAGCCACGGTGCCGCCACGGGCACTCCGATCCGGGGGCGGTTCGAGAAAGAGCCCAAGGCCCGGGACCCCAGGGCAGGGCTGCGCCCTGTGGCCGCCGTGCCCGGGTGTCAGCCCAGAAGCTAACACACCCTCCATGACGGAGCCTCGCACACCGCCCTGGCTAGGGCAGAGCCTGCCCGGCTTCGGGCAAGTCGGGCTGAGCCGGCTCCCGCAGACCCCCTCGGCCAGGCCGCCCTCGCCCTGGTCCTCACCTGCCAGCCGGCCCCAGCGGGCAGCGAGCCCCTCCGCGGACGGCCGGGGGGCGCCAGGGGC